GACTGCGGCCCCTCAAGGGCAGCCACCGTCCTAACGTCCCTGGCCCCCAGCGGCCTGAGTAAGTCCAATGACAAGTGCAGCATTTGCCACTGACCTGGTCCCTGGGTCAAAGAATGTCCCTACAGGGACAAGCCTCCAAGATCTGCCTGCTCTCGGTGTAGCCAACAGGGTCATTGGTGGCCCTCTGTCCTTTGAGCCAAATGGCTTGCAGGGGAAAATGCCCAAGACCTGCAGATGGTGGTCCAGGACTGAAGAAGCCCCCTCCAGTCATACCCAACACAAGAGCTCTCCATCAATGGGCTGGAGCCGCGGGTACACATAGATGTGGCAGGCAGGACAGTAACTTTTCTTATGGATACCGGGGCCACCTTCTCTGTCCTGACTTCCTTCTCCGGACCTGTCTCCTCCAGTTTCTGTGCCGTTATGGGAGTTACAGGTAAACTGACCTTAAGATTCTTTACTGCCCCCCCTTTGTTGTTGATGGGACGAATGCTCGTTCGCACATTCTTTCTTATGTGTGACAGAATGTCCTAGCCCCCTTTTAGGCTGAGATCTTCTTTATAACTTGGGAACCTGTGTTATCCTGGGAGAAGATCCCCAAACTTTCACCTCTTTACAACTCATTGCTCTCTGGGGAAGGAGAAAAACCTCCACATATAGAGGCCTGGGAGAATAAAATTAATCCTGCTGTCTGGGATCAAGGCATCCCAGGGCGACAAAGAAGGCTGCTCTGGTTGTCATCTCGCTCAGAGATCCTACCTGGCTCCCTGATCGAAAACAGTATCATTTAAAACCTGAGGCAAGGAAGGGCCTTCAGCCAATAATTTCTAAGTTCTTACAGTGTGGAGTCCTAATTCCTGTTAACTCCCCCTGCAACACACCTATCCTTCCGGCCATTAAAAAAGATGGGACCTACAGGCTGGTCCGGGATTTACGAACCATAAATGAGGCAGCAGTACCTCTTCACCCAGTGGCCCCGAACCCCTGTGTGCTACTGGGGAACATCCCTCCAGCAGCCCGGGGGTACACAACCTTAGACCTAAAGGGGCATTCTTCTGTATGCCCCTTAGTCCCCAGTCCCAGTATTTATTTGTCTTTCAGTGGGACTCACCCAGTGGGTACCAGCGCCAGCTGCCTGGACAGCACTACTGCCACAGGGGTTTAGAGACAGTCCTCACCTCTTTGGGCAAGCTTTGGCCCAGATTTACAGGACTTACAGCTTGAAAAAGGGACTATTCTCCAATATGCAGATGACCTACTTATCTGCCCCCTTACTCGAGAACAGGCCATCCAGCACACAATCCAGTTTCCAGGTCCAAGGCCAAAATGGTCATACAAGACGTCACTTATCTAGGAGTTGTTCTGACTCCTGGAACCTGTAGACTTTCCCCTGAACGAATTCAGGGAACCTTACAACTCCCTACTCCCACTACTCGAAAACAGCTCAGGACGTTTCTCGGACTAACAGGTTACCGTAGGCTTTAGATCCCTCACTGTGTGTGTATGGCCCAACCTCTATGGGCCAGTTTAAAGGGTAAAGAAGACTCAGTATCTCTCAGTGGGGTCCTTCCCAACAAGAAGCAATGGAAGAATTAAAAAATCTCCTAGTAAGATCTCCGGCCTTGGGGCTTCCAGATCCCACAAGACCCTTCCAGTTCTATGTTCATGAGAGAGGAGAAAGAGCCTTGGGGGTCCTCATCCAACGGCTGGGTCCTACCCAACAGCCCATGGGATACTGCTCCAAGCGGCTAGATCCCACTGCTTAAGGCTGGCCTTCCTGCCTAGGAGTGTTGGGAGCCCTGTCTATTCTCCTGGAGGAAGCTTTTAAGCTAACTCTGCGGTCCCATATACAAGCATATGCTAACCACCAAGTTTCTGATCTTTTTAAAGGCAAGGGACATTTCTGGCTCTCAGACACTTGGCTTCTTAAATATCAGGCATTATTATTGGAAAACGCAGATGTCACTGTCTCCGTTTGTGGGACACTCAATCCTGCTACACTGTTACCATCACCAGACGAGTCTCTTCCCTTTCACCTATGTCATGAGACCCTGTCCATTTCTCTAGGAGCTAGAGCAGACCTCACTGACCAACCCCTGGAAAACCCTGATGAGATCTGGTTCACTGATGGGAGCCACATATTCTTGTGAACCTCTTAGCGATCTGTGACTGCTTTTCAAGTGACTCTCCGGTGAGACTGTCCCATCGCCCTAGGGGACTACGGATCCCTGTTAGATAAACCTCTTTCTTAAATGTCTCCTGGCTCTAATCTTTTCTCCTCTGGGGCCCCCACCAAACTGTTTTAATACTAATCTAAAATGTCTCTGACATTAGGGTCCCTCGTTGACTCCTCCTTTAGTTCACTGGACTAACACTCCAACATCTGCCTTCTAAAGCCTAAACCAACAGAAAGCACAGAAATCAGTTATTTTTAAGGCAGTTTTTTCCAATTAAGTAGGTATGACCTTTGTTTGCCCCTTTTATCTCCTGGCTAGGGTTAGCTCTATGTATTTGACTTCTATCTTTTTAACCTTCTTATAAAATGTGTTTCTTCTTGTCTAGAGTCAAACTTTAAATGGCTATATAACAAGGTAATCAACCAATCAGCCAAAACAGCTTTTATACAAGCCACTCGATGGACACCGACCCTTTGCTCACCACCTGCCCAGTGACAGCCAGCTAGTCTGGGACCCCAGCGAGCGCCATCATTACCCAGATCAGCAGGAAGTAGCTAGAGCAGTCGTCGCCCTCTACGTCCCAAAGATTTGGGGGTCCTATGACTAGAAGGGGGAATATTAGGTAGTTTAGATAGCGATGAGCACTGGCAGGGGGAGAGAAGGGAGAGGAACAACCCAGAATATGACAGTGTGTTCAGGAAAAGAGACTCCAGAAATTTTTACTTTCTCTAAGTGAGGGCCAGTTAAAGTCAAAGCGCTGCAGCTGCGCATGAGCGGGCGCCTGGTATAACCCGACCCAATGAACCTGCTCAAAAGGGGGTGGGCGTGCCGGAGCGCAGGGAACCTGAGTTGTCAATCAATCCTCCAATCAATCACGATATCAGGATATAAAAACAGGAAAAAAAAGGAGCGGCGCCATTTTTCCTCCCTTGGGTTGGCCCGCCCCCAGTTCTCGGGAGTGTACTGTCTTTTGCTATTTTTTTACTTCACTAAGAAAAATCTTGCTTATATCACGCTTTTTGTCTCTCATCAAAAATTCTTCTTTTTTGGGTGACTAAGAACTGAGGTAATTCTTATTTTCCTTTTCCCAGTAACAGTTTGACAGTCACTCTATGGCCTCCTTGGATAGAGAGGCCAACTTCTCCTTACTGCCTGCGACAGAGCCCTCTCCCACCCGCTGCTCGTGGCCTGTGGATTTATTTTACCATTTGCTTTAGAAAGAGGTATTGGATAAATTTGCTTTAAAATGATTATTCACTCCAAAGCCAACAGATTGTATTTTTAATTGTCCGAGTGGATAGATTGTTCCCTTGTATTTTCTGAACTGTTTATTCTCACTGATGTTATTCTTAGCTGTTCCTCATGGTGGAGAATTTGTCAGACTGACTTAAAGTCTATAGGAAATTTTCTCTCTAAAATGAGATAACCAGAAAGGTTCCTGAAAATATATACAATCACAATTAGGAATTCGATACATTTTTTTGGATCCGGATCAGTTTAACTTGGCATAACCGAAAAAGCTTATTTAGTACATGTTCAGGAAAAATAAGGATTTATGGACACATTAAACTATAAAGGGAACAAACAAGTATTTTTGTATGTACAAGAGTATTTAAAAATTGCAATTAAACATTAACTATTACTGAAATTATTCTGACAGAAAATTCTTATTTGAATTGCTTGTTACATAGATTGTACTTGGAATAAAGGCAGAATGATTTAAAAAAAATACATTTTCCAATAATTTTTATTAGCCTGGTAGTGAAACGATCCAGGTTAAGAAGAGCTTTCTTCATTAAAATGAGCAGCTCTGTATTACTGAAATGGAAGCTTTAGAAGCCATAAGCATCCAAAACCAAACTTTAAATGTTTGACGTGAAAACATTTTGACGGATGACGTATTGAATTTATGGGAATGTCTTTCAAGTTTGCTGTTTTCTTCTGGCTGTATTAGACAGCATCTTAACTGGCAGGGTCAGTGAAAACACAGTGCTTATTTTAAGGGGCATGGAGTTGAATGTGAGAAGTATTTGGGGGAATTCACAGGTAGCTTTTCTTTACATTGTTTTTCTGTGGTTTTGCCGGGGGCACCCACACAGTCCTTGCCCCCGGCTAGACTGTGGGAAAGGATGCCGGCCCCTGACAGCGAAGAACAGGCTGTTTCGCTCTTACAAGCCTAGAGGCTCCTCAGATTGCTCCCCCAGTGCTTCTTTGTGAACTAATCCTGCCCTAGCAGGTTTCCAAACTGCAGCTTCACTTGTTTCTTTTACCGAGGGATTCTTATTTTTGATTAAGCTCTTGTCCTCAGTTTTCAGTGTTTCTTGTGTTTTTGTCTCACGTGGCACTTTTAATATTTTCTGGTTACTTCCTTCCAATTTTATTGGCTAAGTATGGCCACTTTCTCCTGAACTTAAAAAAATTCAGTGGGTTTAGAAAAACTTAAGAAATTCACCCTATGCGAAAGGAAGGGGCCATGAATTAGCTGTTGACTTGCAGGCTGATTTAAATCCGTAATGAGGACCGTCCTGGGAGGCTCTTCTGACTGAAGAATCAGAACAGTCGTTTTATTTTAAAATTGTTTTTTTGGTACTTAATTATCAAAACTACCAGCTCTTGCAAAACTAGAGTTAATATCCTCCATTTTATGTTGTGTTTAATGGGATTAAAATGCAGGGATATTTCGTATATCACTGGGGTTGTAAACAAAATGTTAATATTGCACTTAAATGGATACACCTTCTCAGACTACAGTTAGGCCAGATTTGAAGGTTTTATAAAGCAATCTAGTTTCTAAAACTAGCAATTAAAACGTGAACACTTTTCTTTATGGAATGGAAAGGTTTATTTCATTTTTAATAACAATCAGGACAAAATGTTTAAAATTTGCAGTTTAAAACATGCACATCCACAAAAGGCCAATGACACGTAACACTGCGTAGAATTGAATATTACTCAACTTATAATAACTATTTATAAAACACAGTGCTTTGAACATCGAGATAAACAAACCTGAGAAAACTACTATAATCACAGAGTCAACACTCTCCACTCATGCAGCTTCACAATTTCTACAGCAGTTTCAGCAGGAATGGTTTTTCATGGAGCTGAAAATATACGATTTTATCTTTAATGCAAACTGCAATTTTCCATAGTAGCTGCCTTCCAAGGCTGCCTTTCTTTTTAACCTAAGAAACTTGAAAATGTGAAAAATGAAGCTTGAAGTAGTTAAACAAACAACAAACAGCATTTACTGCATTTATGGCTGCTAGTCTAGAACCAGGAAACATAAAAATATATATTTTTAAATATTCTGCTCACATCTTTGCAAGAGCAGATTTACCTATGGAAAGTTGCTGTTAATTCAAAGTAAGCTAGTATGAAATCTAGCTTTTTTCCTACTTAAGGGAGATTTATTTGCTGAGAAGTTTTGTGAGCTTTATTAAGGAAAGTTCTTAGAGGCAAGCTAAACAAAAGTTTCAATTAAATTAGTTCAAATTTGTAAAATAATTTACTTATTAAAAAAAGTGCAGAGGACCAATTAATTTGCCCACTGAATATTAAATTTCAGGTAGGCCACGAAAGAATTTTATAAGGCAGAAATAAACATCAAGATTTACAGCAAGAGCCATGCATTGGCCTAGACCACTTTAAATATTAATTCATGCAAACCATAAACCTATCAAAAACACAGCTGCTCTCATACAGAAAATAAATCAGGACAAAAAATGGAAAACATTTATTTCCTTTCCTTCAAAATTTAACTTACATTCCATTTGAATAGCTGTTGAAGGTTAATTAAAATGCAGCAAAAAATAAGAGCTTCACAAGTGACTTTCAGTTATTTCAATGTGAGAAAAATCAAACTATGGTCTCTTTAAGAGGCATTATAGAAATGTTCATCATTAAAAAGCATTTATTAGGCACTGAGCTGCATGGTGTTACATCAAGTAATTTATGAAAAGAGTTCTATAGGCCTGGCCCATGTGATGTGAATAGAGTGGGAATTTGCTCAATAAATTTTGTGGATGATTATAGATTTAATTGATGATGCAAGTTTTAGAACCAGGAACTATCCAAGGGCAAACTGCACAAAAATAAACACTAAGAATTATTTAGCTTTGTAATAAGGATGACATTGTTATAAAGAAAACATTGTGAATATGCAATCAAGTACTTCCTGATTAGCATTCATTTCCTGAAAGAACATCTTAAATGACAGATTCTAAGTGATGTACAGTGCACACAATGCAGAACAAATCGTGTGACTTTCACACTGGTTATTGAGAATGCGAAACTGCGAAGTTAAAATATAACGACCAGAATAAATGTTGATTTCTTGAATTCATTTCTTTTTCCTTGGAAATTAAGAGGAATCACTTAATTAAGAGGATTCCATTCAATGACCATACAGTTCATGTAAATGGCTGACATTACTGAATAGAATACAGGTTCACCTGACTTGATTAGAAAAAGTTTCCCATTAACTTTGCCGCATGGCTGAAGCAGGCTCACATGAGACAGAGTGGGGTGGGGGTGGGGGGTGGGCAGCATATATTTCACTTACAATTTACTACATTCCTGAGAAACACTATTTTCCTGCTAATAATTTCTACCATATAGCATCTTTCTGGGTGTGAGACACCAATATATTTTTATATGATGTATAAAACGTTTAGAAAGTCCATGCTCAATATCACTGTGTACTAGTCAACATTAAAGAAGCAACTTCCAGCTTTTCAATGCGAGATGAATGACGATTTTCTGCTGAAAGTAGTGTTTTCTGAACTGTAAACATTATAAAGCAACGGTGTTAGCATTTGCCAGTCCCTACAAGGGACGTTTTAATTGGAGTGTCCCTTATTTCAGAAAATACACTTCAACTGTTTAGTTTAATCTTGGTAAAACTGTTACTTCCCCACTCCTGGCCTTAGGAAGGTTAAAAAAAAATCAGAGGGTTTTCTCTCATTACCACTATAAGGTTGCTGCAGTTGCAATCTTATATTTTAAATTTTACCATGGAGGTCACGCCCTCTCTGCCCACCCCCAACTCCCACCCAAGAAGCTAAGAGATTGACTTACTGTTGATAATTCCAAAATAGGTCCTTGGGACAAAAAAGCACAAATTAGTCATATTTCAGATCATGATCACCAACATTATAATATTAAGCATGAGTCTTCTACCCACGTTGAAGAGCTTCACAGAAACAAGCTGTGTTTCAAGATAGAAATAAAACACTTAGTTTTCTTAAGTCAGAAAATTCAGTGCTCTTATGCTCATCCCATTTTAATATTAACCTTCTGGAGAAGGATGTCACCTATGAGGTGAGGGGAAATGGAGGCAGCCCTTCTCTGTCACCGCTGTAAACTGTTCCTCCGGAGGGATGTACTTCATTCTCGTTTTTCGTTTTTTGTGGTTTGACCTCAACTCTCCCCGCGGAGGCCCAGACAAGCCGCTCTGAATATCCGTTCAGTAGACAAAGAGTGTGACATCTGAATTTTGAAGATGACCTTAGACTCTCATACTTGTGGTCTTGCTAGATGTTTGGGTTCATGATTCTCTTAATCTGAGCCCCAGATGGGAAGGGTCTGGGGAGTATTTATGTTCATTCCTTGCCCTCCTTTAGGTTAGAATTATGTATGTGTTACAACTTCTCTTATTTGCAGAAAATGTGGGAGGCATACATGTGACTAAGTAGTTAAGAATACAGGTAAGGAAATAATCAATAACCTAATTTTAAGTCTGGATTGAGAAAAAGGGTGAAAAGGATGTAAATGATTAAACTCAAGGAGTGATTTGAAAATCACCTCTCTTCTCAATCCTAGTTGACTTTTTCAAAAGAGGAAGTTCTACCTATTTTGCTGGTTAAGTCCACTTAAAGGCAAACAGGCTTTTGAACACAAGGCAGAAAGTTTGCTTCAATCTCTGAAGTGTATCTGAAAGCTAGAATTCCTTTTTATTTATTTCTACGTGAAAGCTTTATTTAAAAAATAGTGTAGAAAATAGGTTGCGGTTTTTAAACAGCCCCTCCCCTCACCATCTATAGTTGGTAGCAAAGTAGGTATTTTCAGGAGATGTCTTGAAAATGCTGAAAATAATTAAACAGAATAGACATTTAAAAGCATATTAACAGAATCTACTCAAGATGAACAGGGTTCTTTGTAAAGTTACAGGCTTGAGTAAAATAGGTGTTTTTAAAATGGGGAAAATGTACTGCTGCTTTGTCCCAATCAGCAGCGTGTGACTAATTCTGGGAGCTGCCTGACACGTGAAAAGTGAAGTCACTCTCAGTCCTCAGTGCAGGAGGGGCAGTCACTGAAACACGGGGTGTGCTACCGAGGACAGCAGGCGTCTCACGTGAGAACTAACAGAGAAACCAAAGCACAGGGCAGAAGCTGAGCCTCCGACATTACAAAAGCCCATGCAGGTATCCTGCGGGGTATTCCAAACGTCTTGACAGAAGCACGGGAAATCTCACATACATATGTGAGCGTATTTTTCTTAAAAGAGAAAACTTGAAGACAAAATGACATTGCTCAATCTACAGCAGAAGCCAGACTGTTAGAAAAATCTAAATGATGATGAAACCTCATCAGAAAGGACTGAGACATAAACACAGCTTTAAAAAATCAGTGTCGTAACGACAGGATCACTTACCACGAGTGCACTTCGACTTTAACAAATAAATAAGACAAACAAGAAAGAAGCATTTGTAAGGCCGAAGGTGCAACATCACAGATTTTAGTAGCAAATGCCTTGAAATACTTGTTTTTGCAAATCACTCTTAGATTTGAGAAGTCAAGCATGCAGATCTTACAGCAGAACTGGAGGTAAACCTTCTCTTAAATTTCTGGGCAAATGACTACTGAATGAGAAATACATTTATTGAACTTCTTTGGCAAACATTTATCAAGACAATTTTTGACACAAACACTTATTATTAATGTCTTGTTTAGAAATTTTGCTCAGCGAGTCAGTTCCTTAAGAATGCTGGTTTTTTTTTTCTTCAGCATATTCTGAAATCTAAAACTGGGTATCAAGAGTCCCTTTAACTTACTACCATTTTAGAGACTTCGAATGGCTGGTCACCTTGTGGCATATCCAGTACACTGACAGTTACAGCCCCAGAGCAACAGCATAAGAATACTGACTTGTTCTCAGTTTAAGGAAACACTCTGGCAAGATACAAGGTCATTTTCCATTTCTGTTTACAAAGACTTAGCAAATACTTTCGAAAATCTGAAAGAGATGGTGTTACAGTATAGTTGCACAGTGCTTATGTCTATAATATACATGAATCTGAATGTCAATCAGTGAGATGCGCTCAGATCCATTTCCCCTCCTGGGACCAGACTGGAATGGGTCAGCAGATTCTGCTGAAGACCTGGGAGCACTCCTTAGAGACACAGCAGAGCTGGCCTCGCAGCCCCTCCCCGTCACCATTCATCGGGTCTCTGCTTTGTGGTGTCATACGCTCTAATCACTTCAGACTGGGAGACGATTCCATTTTCATCTTGAGAGAAAGCATACCCATCTGGAAGTTAAAGATAAAATAGAAATGGTCATCACAAAGTCGCTGGAAACCTGTTATTCTGGCTTTTGAGTGCTCATTTTCTAACGAGGGGAACTAATGCATCCCTCCCATCTTTAAAAGCATGAAGGCGTGAATTTTTAGGGTCCGGAAAAGGTACAGACTCAACTGGAAAAGGAAGAGTAAGATGTCGGTGCTGTAGATGAGCTATGAGTTCTGCTCTGTAGATGAACAGACGCTCTCACCCCTGCTCCCTTCAGCATCTCGAGTCCAACCCATCTAATTTTTGCTTCCCAGCTATCAGAGGGGTGGGGTTCCTGTCAAGTGGGCACATGTGTTCCGAACAGATCAGGCGGATGAGAAGGAAGAAAGAATAAAAACGAGGAAGACAAGGAGGTAAACACCCACGGCCCTGAACAGTGGAAAAGTGGTCTCCTCTCAGACAACATTCTTCTTGGCTCTCAGTACAAACTCATGCCCCAGCCTGGTCCGAGGGGCCTTGGGGATAAGAAATGACCCTCCAGGGGATCACATCTTTAGAAAAGGCCTCTTGAAGTATAAAGAGCAAAAGCATTAAACATGAGTATATATAAATGAAAATAAATTATATGTGGAAGCAACATGAAACAAAAGATATATTACTAACACAAATACATTTACTACAGGGCTTTATATATTATATTCTTTTTTAGATCCTTGAAATGTTAAGAGGGCGTGATATCTAATAATTTCTTACAGCTCTAAATATTCATAAATATTTTTGAAGGGGAAAATATATGTTTCACTGTGCAATGTTTCATACACATTTCATTGTGTATGAAGGCTGAAAAGGCTCTTGCAAAGTTATTCAAGTAGAAAAGATAACAATACAAGCTTTTAAGAATTAAGATTTATTTTACTGGTTCTTTTTAAGATTTACAGAAGCAAGGGGCAGGCGGAAATATTTTTCTTTAAGTGAAAGCAGCAAGATTTCCAAATGCTTTGTCTCTTCTGCTGAAAGCAAGATTCGGTTGTGGTCAAAGGATTCTCTACACATTTGTTATTTATACAATATCCTGGAATTGTGCAAAATCTGTTTTAGGTGTTAATTTTAAAGAAATATCCCTAAGGTCAAAGTACTGCTCTCATAAATGCTATGAGGGAATGGCAGAAAATGTGTTTAAAAACCAGAACTCAAATACTCACGGAGCAGGTTTTGCTGCAATGATTCCGACCGGTACAAGTTCACATGGTTCTTCTTAAAGACGTTCTTGAGCAGTTGCGCCCTCTCGGTGAGGCTGTAGAGCAGGTGCAAATGTGTGAAATGAATTATCAACTCGGCGGAGACCCCAGAGTGCCCACAGGACCACCGGAGAGAGTCTGACTTAAACAAAAGATTTCTTGAGACATCCGTAGTCTAGTCCTTTTACCCCATTTTCTCAGAGAGGAGAAGAGATTTCAAGAAGTTAGATACTTTTGAGGCCATTTCCTCCAGAGCTAAGAAGAGTTTTGTCCCAAGTAGTCCAGCCAAAAGATTTCCCCACACCCCTCAGTTATATTTAAGTCAAATGGAGACACAGAACTTGCAATTAATTAACAATTAATAAAAAACACAAAATCTATTAGTAGTGTTGTTAGCTTCTAAAATATTGGCTGACTTACTGCATATAGTAAGCATGGCATTTAAGAATTAAAAAATTAGCCATTACTATGTCTTTTTCCTGCTTTGCATATAGTCTAGTGTGAAATAATTTCCTCAGTTATACAGAGAAATCCCAAAAGTCATGCAAAGAGGAAATTTCACAGAATTTTTAATCAGAAAAATTCCATTGCCACTCTAATATGGTATGAAATGTGTTCCTTAATTTCAAAATAAAAAAAATAACTATTTTCAGAAAATAATTTACTAGGTCAAATGACAAGAAAAAACATTTATTTTTCAATAAACATTTAGAATAATCTTCTAGCAACAGAAGAAACAAATCCATGTAATTGTGTCCCCTTCTAAAAGCAGACTGCAAGAAATAACGCCTGTTTTTCTCCATGGCACACAGAACAGTGGCTCACAGGGTAGGAAGTCAAATATTTGTCGAATAAATGAATTTGAGTAATAATTCTGAAACGCACTTTTAAACATCGTCAATCCTCCCAAACACGCCATTTCTCCATTGGTTGATGTATGAAACTTTGCTTTGATATCAAAGCCCATGCAAGCACGAAGCGCTAATTAGTAATCCACATGTGTAGCAGCAAATGCTTATGCAATTTTGTTTTAACCACTGGAAATGACTCTGTGGACAAATTTCCATCTTTTAGTTTCCCCACTGTAAAAGCTTTAGTTAAACCGCTGTAAGTTATGTTAGCTCTGTACTGTGCCAGATATTTTTAGACCCTGCAATGGAACAATATTTATCATATGCAAAAAAAAAAAAATAAAAGGGATCATCTGCAAAATGAACTCACTGCAGTTACACATTTAGGCTTTTGTTGAAGTGAAATATTTAGAAATGTTGACATTGGTAGTAATCTTCCACACATACTTTTAAAAGTCCAGGGGTGTTAACTGGTTCTTCTTAGACATACTTAATTGTCATTGGGAATTAAGGCAAGAAAGCTAATTAATCTAAAACTCCAGTGGTTTTGCAAATATTTGTAAAACTGGTATTTGCAAATATTTGTAAAACTGGTTTTTGCCAGTGAAATAAGCAGATAGGGGGACTGAGAGAGGGCCATTTTTATGGCCACTTTTCTTACTCTACTCTTAAAATGATCTAACATGACCGACCACGGGACTCTGAGGGACACTAAAATATGTAGCTGCTTTGAGTGAGTGGCAGCTTTAGCAGCAGGTGGTCTGATTTTGTTAGCAGAGCGCTGTGGATGGGGTGCTGGGGAGTCTCTGGTGTTCGAAGTGGAAATGACTACAGAAGACTGCAGGACGGCAGTGTATCATTATGGAACTTCTTTTTCCCAAAATACGTTTTCCAGGTTTCAGGCAGGCCCGCCTAGATGCATGATCCTTTAATGTTATAACACGGATGTGTTAGGAAGGCAGATGTGAGAACTGTGTCTTTCACATCATGGCCACTTAAATATATAAGATAATGGAGTTCTGTTTTGTAATGGTTCATATAAGGCTGTACTTTCACTCAGCTATTACAACCAATTAATGTCTAGTGTTTGGAAAAAACAAAAGAAAAAGAAAGTTTCTTTCTTGGGAAGGAAGCACACCACTGCGGAGAGAACCTCCGGCAACCTTTCTCGGACATCTCATGCAGACCAGGAGGACCATTCCCACCCCTCCGGCTGACTGAGGAGTCCGGGAGGTGTACAGCTTCCAGCACAGTTCCTGGCACTTCGGAAGCGCTGACCAAACCCTAGTTCTCCCCACCTTTCCCAACCCCCAGATCCCAAGGAATTTATGATTAAAAAATCAGCTAGAACAGAGGTCATCACTAAAGATACTTTGTGAGAATCATTTCTGATGTCTTGGTTTATATTCAACATTACCTTGACGAGACATGTCTATGGCTGATGGAAATTAATGAGTTTTAATTTATAATGCCCCCAACTCCGCTTCCTTAGTAGGAAAACTACTGGGTTTTTGTTCTGTTTTTTTGTCTTAGCTATGTCGACCCTCTTACAGAGCAGAGTCCCTCCTATAGAACACGAATGCTGTTCACGGGAGGGTGCTTAATAAATCCTACGTGTTGATGATCCGTATTTCTCTAGTCTTATCCTGCCGTTAGGGAACAAATCATCATTTCAAAATGTTCTCTGCTATCAAGGTTTATGGGTACTGATATTACTGTCAAGTCACGTTATAAAATATACCGGTAACATGTTAACGTTAATGGATATGTTAAAAGTGCAGTTTTTGTTGAACAGCTTAACAGTGTGAGAAGAAAAAAAAAACAGACTCCAGGATCCCTTCTAACTAAAACCACACTTTATTCACAACTCTTGGTCAGCAGTTTGACTCAATTTGTAGGGTCTTTCATTTACATACAAACCTCTGCAAATTTTGGATTTATTTAGTGCAACCACCCAACTACCACTTAAGTATTGTTAGGTCATTTCCAAGCCCACTGAACGCTTGCAACGTTAGTATCTGGTGGAGGTGAGGTGGAAATATACCATGTTTTAAAAGAACAGTTCGTTTAGAAACACTAAAAAAAGTACAGGTAAAAACCCACTTACTATCCTGGAACACATTATTTGAAGGTATTTTTCAGTTATCTTTGAAGACTGGTAAACTTGCATTTGTTTCTGTATTGGGTTGCCAAGCTATTTTGGCTGACTCATTAAAACGGATCTCCAGAAAGTACAACCATACATTCATGGAATGTTTTAGTGACAGCATATGACAGCTGTCCTGTACTCGGTAGGGAGATCAATATACAAGAGCAGGCTGGGGGGAAACATTTGCTATGTCCTCCTATCCTAAACCCTCACCAAGAAATTTATGTCATAAAGTCCAGTGCGAACACTGAGAAATAGTTTCTTTTCTATTAGTTCTGGGGTAAGGTTGAAATTGCTTTTCAGTAAGACAAATAATACAGACACAGGCTGGGGAGACCACCATCACTGTCCACAAGACCAAATTATACGACATCCATACTTCCCTGCTCTCTTCTTTGAAGTTAAGGCTGTGAGCCAAACAGTGGTGATGGAAATTAATGAGGACTGACCTGAAGATCCTGGGCTAAAATTCTACTTAGTAAAGGCCGGTGATGATATGCTGGCTAATGTCTACAGTTAGATATAAGAAGTTAGGAGTCTCATTACTCATATTGCCTGTCGTAAGATGTATTGCTTCACACGCGCATGAAAGATACCCAGTAATCACTGCCTTGTCTCCAATGAGCCCAGTGTCCACAAGCCTTTGTTTTAAATCTTTGGCTTTCTGAATTCATGTTTTGTTTTGTTGTGTTTTGGAAAAAGTGATATGTAACACACGACTTATAGATGTAATACTCCCATGTGGGATCTGTGAGGCCCATATTCCAAAAAATGAATATTTCTGCTATATAATATAGAAATTTTTACATTGTAGAAAAAATAAACACTATCAATGTCCTTATATTTACAGAACAACTGGTTTAGATTTCTCCAGCAAATTTTGCTCTAAAACTAAGGAAAAAAATTGAATTTCAAAGCTTTTTGGATTTTGGAAATGAAGATGCTTCTCTCTAGTGTTGGAGGATGTATGTTCACATAAAAGTAATAGCAAAAACCAGGGTTTCACGGCTGATAAGTCATCTTCTTAACCCAAAATAGTAAGCTGTGGCTACACAGTGATTAGGAATAACGTTTGGCTGTATTCTCCCAACACTTTAGACTTAAATTTGATTTCTGTCATAACCCATGGCTCAAAATCAATATACTGAGATGATGAAACATACCTTTTCCCTCAAAATTTCAGTGTAAAATTACAATGTACCTAATTTGCTGGATAATATGATGTGGTATACTATTTCTATAAAAAAGACTAATTATTTTAACTAAGATGTTTTGATTTTTGAAAATGAGTAGAGATGAGAGATAAATTATTATAAATACTAATCTGGATATAGTGCTTATAAGATACAGTTTCTCTGACACAGTTTCATTTTACTCTAGCTTGACTTCATAGTAGTGCTTAGTGATGATTTAAAAAAAATTGAGGATGATCAACTCAAGAGCGTTCTTAAGAACTGCATCATTCTATGACAAAAAAAGTAAACACGCATCACTTTGGACGGCACTAGTTTGGGAAATGTGACCTATATAATTCTGTGTTCTTCTCTATCACATTTTAATTTAACCACCCACAAGTCAACCCACCACTCAACTATCCTTATCCCTTCCATCCATGCTTTCATTCATTCATTCATGCCTTGGTTCATTCTCTTGACAACTCATTCATCCATTCAAAAAATGTTATTGAGTGCTACTGTGTTCCTGGCTCTGTGGTTGGTGCTGGGTTGCAGTTAAGACTAAGACAGAGGCCTCGCCTCCAAGGAGCTCAATCTAGTAGGGGAAACAAACAAATACAGGACGAACAAATACACTATAAAGCAATAAATGTAAAAAAAGAAAAATAAAATACAGAGACGGCAGAGTAGGAATTGATTTTCTCTCTTAAAAGTTGAGGCAATTAAATTTGAACTGGGTTTTGAAAGCTGGGAATTGGATTACCCAGTCTGTCAGAGGGTATCGGCTCCTAGGCAAGGGAACAACACGTGCAAAGACTGGGAGGCAATGGAGCTAAAGGAAGTCTGGTATCACTAGAATACACAGAAATCACAATTTCTCCCTCTTTGAAAGATGCAGACAAAATTAGCTAATTGTTTGAAATTTGACCTTAATCTCATTCTCCAAGATTTCTGACTTAATTCTGACAGTAAAATCAACCTGGCAATTTCTAAATGCTGTTCACACGAAAATAGTTTCATGTGAAGACTGTTCTAACCAGTTCCCACATTGCCTCTTTCACACATCTTTTCCTTCCCCTCCTCGCTAGCCATCATTTAGCAGGGAGACCCATGGTCTCGCTCCCCATCACCACCCTTCTGATCACTGATGGGCAGCAGTGGCAACGTGGGGCATGTGCTGGACCACGGGTTTTCGTCTGGTACTCAGCAAACAGCTAACTTAGTCCTGAGTTCTTAAGAAAAGCTGAACAGCTATTTTAGGCAAATGAGCTGAGTGGCAGGAAATTTATCTGATGCACCTTCTGTGGCGAGGTTGATGGTCATTTATGGTAGAATTCACTTCTTCCCTTTTAGGCTCTCTGACTTATTTACTGGAAGGGGTTACACACAGCACAGACTCACTGAATCTTTAGGATCTCGAAGTCAGGTCATCACAGCAAACCCTCAGCCTGATTTCTGAATTGTTGAAATCACCAGTATACTATAAATGACGAAAACGAAGTATCACGTGGAGGGGCTCAATGTAAGTTTTATTAATATACAAACAGGAGAAATATACTAGAAGTGGTAACAGTATTAAGTATTATCAGTGGCTTTTCCCTAATAATTGTGAATAAATGGTTTTAGTCATAATTCTGTGAGCTAGAACTTTAACCATATTTTTTTTATAGCTAGAGTGGAAGAGAGAAAAAACATTTACTGAGGTAATATTTATGAAAGGCCATGGCATCAGTGTAGATGTGGAAATGAAGGGAAGAGATGCAGGGGAAGGTGGAGGGAGGCACTATACCTGTAACCCTGAAGGCAGGTGTATCCACCCATCACGCACACAGAGTACTGACTTGGAGAAGCTAAGAACTGTCAAGTTAGCGGCAGGCTACTTTGTTGCTATTCCACATTCCTTTTTTTTTTCAATTAATTTTTAAATTTAAAAACAATTTTTTTTAAAGGTAGGTACTGGGGAATTGAGCCCAGGACGTTGTGCATGTTAAGCATGCACTCTACCACTGAGCTATGTCCTCCAGCCTCTATGTTCTTAAAAAGCAGCAAAAGGAGGCGGACTAGTGCGTGGTTAGCAGTGGGGGCTCTAGAATCAACTGATGTGGGCTCACGGTGGTCACGTCTGACCTTAAGAACCTCTCTAAGCCCCAGTTTCCTGATCTGGAAAAGACAGGGATGATGGATACGTACAGGTTGTTACAGGGGCCCAATGCGAGAGCACCTATGAAGTGTTAAGTGCAGGGCTAGCGCGTGGTGAGCGCCCCCCAGAGGCCAGTGCTATCATTTTAAATAGAGTCACAGTCTGGTGTGTGGCGTGCCCCTCTGTCCTAGCGAGAGCCAGAGAGAGGGCCGGAAGCCAAGGACTCAGCTCCACTTCCCAGTCCGACACTTACTCTATTGTGTCCAGCTGAGTAACAACAGTGACACACAATGAAGGTGACACAGACCAGGGCAAAATGTTTCCTGTGGTTGAGACAAAACTTAAGTTCATTTTAGTGTGATGAAAGGGAGAAAGAATAAATTCCTGGTATTTTCTTCAAATTGTGTTTTATTGTGGTATGCTTTCAAAAACTTTAATTTCTTTTTTATAATGCTTTTGTGAAATTTAGTAAATTTGATTAACTTTCTAATCTTCTTTTCTGAGGGGGAGAGGGGAGAGGGCTGGTCGTGAGGAAGAGGACTTGGAAGACATAACTCACTTTGTGTAAGACACATGCCCAGCTCAGTTCTGAACAATGCACTGAACCATGAATGCAACTGTAGGAGAGTTTTATGTCAAGCTCCGATTTTGGTTACATTCTACTGTGTTAGGGAAGCTGTTTCAAGGTAAAAGTCTTTTCCTCCCTTTTTCAGTTTAATTATACAACACAATTTGTAACTACCATTTATTTAGTGCTCATTAAGCACCAGACAGCAAGCTACCTGTTTTATGGACAGTATTTTAATCAATCCTCACAACTAGCCACGAGGTAGGTATTATCACCCCTAGTTTGTACGTGAGGAAACTGAGGCTCAGTAGCACGAAGCCACGTGGCTAAAGCCACATACAGCTTAGTGACTGAAAGATCTGATTTGAATCCACATCTCTCTGATTCCAAAAGCTGTCAGTGACACTTTGATCCACGTTAGTTAGCTCCACGTTAACTGATAAACACAGGTTTAATCACTTATTTCCAACCACTGGCAGAAGAAAAATTAAAAGTTCATTTGGAAAAGAACATATATAGTGTGTAGTTTACCTTTTTCCAAGCACAACTGCTCCTGGGTCTTGAGATTTTGCCTCCAGCTCCTGAACTTCATCTACTAATGTTTTAAAAGCAGTCCTTTTGATACTGCAGAAACAGGATGCAAGTATTAGCATGAAGATTTAAGACTCTATGAAATTGGCTTTTATCATGCTGCTGATAAATACAAGAGTAACCAGATTACAAACAGCAGCTTTTCCACAGAATCTAAAAAATTACAGTAATTTTCAGCATTAATATAATTATAGGAACAATAGTCATTAAATAAATGGTTTAGGTTTACAATATGAAAACCCTCATACCTATTAAATAAGCATCATACGACTAACTTTAATAAATCTTTTTTTGTGGGAAGAGATAACATTTTAAAACTTACAATCCTTGAGAAAGATTAGTAAAGTTGTAATTTCTTTCATTCTATACTTTACATATGTTAAGAATCAAGCAAGCAAAAAATTTCCTTTCACAATTCTTGTTTACTAAAACTTCATGTGTTTGGAGATAACAGAATTTTTTTCCACCCTGAATGGGTTTTTCAGGCTGATTAATAAAAATGTTAAATTGAAGCTACCTGTTCTTCATCTGTTCCATCTTTTAAGCTAATTTAGTTTTTTAGTTCTTCAATCATTTCTTTCTTCTTTATTTATATAGAATTCATTAATATTACTAATTCCTATTGTGCAAGCTCTAAACTCGAGTTGACGGTACAACTAGAGAAATCTGAGGGTTAATAAGCACCTATGCTTCTGTGTATGTGACTGAGTATTATACTTACACTTTGTACACTACATCAAGAAGCAAAGATGCCACAGGGATAAATAAGAGGCCGGTCCAAAAGACTCCGGAACTAAACAACATGGCTGCCTGGGTAAACCGTCAGAAACAGCATTACTTTAAAACCAAGAAGTACAGCATGCACGTTTAGTTTTCATATGATTTCCAGTAGAATAATTTTAAGAATCTCATTCTGCAAGAGGGTATACAATAACTTTGAATTCAAGCTTGAGAAGTATTTGGAATTAAAAGCCAGATTTATTAAAACATGCATTTACTGTATCTCTTTTTTCCCTCAAGTAGTTAATATAGCAAAGTTTTACCATGTGCCAAATCTTTTCATATTTTTCTGTGAAATTTTTATTATTGTGACAATACATGGATGGAGTAATAAACTTTAATCTTCTTTTATAACTTAGAATATAAAAATCAATCTGTTTGAGCAAACTTCAAACATACTCTGGATTAAGTTCCCCTATAATACAATATGTAAAATCAATCCTAATTAGAAACTAAATTTACTATTTCTGGTGAATAAAAATTAACTTTACTTTTCTGAAATATTACATGACATTAAAAGATGATCTGGATAAATCATGAATACAGTATAAACAAATTAAGGTATTTATGAAAAAATAACAATTTGATGTTATTACTTTTTGTTCAAAGATTTACATAATTTGTTTTGGTGCCTCCTGTTACTGGCAAACTCAAACCAAACACCTAGTATGTAAAACCTAAACCAAAGTGTATTCAAATGACTTTAAGCATTTTTTGTATTAAATCCCAAATTACTATAAAATATCAGAGCCTTTTGGGTTGCAAAGAAAATGATTCTATAATTTAAAAAATTAATAAATTGTATTAGTTATGTGCAATTATGATAAAAAATACTTTATAATGTAATTAGGTTACTTCAAGCTTAGAGGAATAGTATCACATAATAAAACCAGAAGGATTATTTTGTTTCACTTTGAGTCTATTTGTTTATCAAGAATAAATCTGCAGTATCTCTTTAAATCTGTAACTAACGCATGCACATTTACATCCTACTAAAAATCACACAAGAAATGTTTTTTAACCAGGCATGGGGTCAGGAATTAAAAATGATTTAGAGTTTAATTCGTATAGGCAGTTTCACAATGACACATAAATAGTCCTAAGCAATCAATCCTTATCAAATATAAAGACGACTAATTTTAAGTTATGTTTCAGATTACCTATTCACTTTGACTCTCAACTGAAGACCAGAAAGTGCTGTTTAATTTTTTTTTTCCCTACGTTAACACAAGCTTACTGACACAATTTTTGGTACAAGGAGACTCAGGTTTTCCCCTACCTAGGATGAACATCTCTGAACACGTTTAAAATAAAAACACTCTTTTCTCTCAAATTTCAGAAAATAAATGTTGCCACGTGGGTTCAATGGAACAGCACCCACAGTCTAGACACCACCAAGATGAAAAATAGTCCATAAAAGTCACTTTATTTTATAAGCAAAACATGATTTTCGACATGTTTGCTGACATCCTCAATAGTGAAAACCAACAAGGACTGTGTAATAGGAAGTGTCCATCAAGTCGGTGGGTTTTGTTTAGTCGGGAGGAAGCTTCGGAGTAAGGTAATGACTGCAAAATGCCACATTTCCTTCTCCTGCTGCGGGAAAAAGGTAAGATAAGATTCTAAGTCATGTAACTGAAAGTACCCCGTTTACGTGACTTAATTTTAATCTCTTTTAATTTGGGGAGATGGGCAAGAGAAGAAAGATTTCTTCTTGCCTTTGCCACCTTGTATTAAGTGTCTGCTGGGGCAGCAGAGGGGAGGCTGGGGCCGCTAATTCTGACCATTGTGATGTTAACGATGACGGCGACACTGGCGCCCACTATTCAGTCCCCCAGCCTTTGGCTTTGCAAATGAACACCATGAATTGAGGGGAAAGAAGTTTTTCTGCGTCATATCTGAAAGCCTGTCAGATTTTTTTTTCTTTTGCAGAGTTAATCCAAACCTAAAAGATTTAAAGCTGACATTCGCATTAAAGACAGAGTCTCTTTGTATTTTTTGGATGGGGGTTTGGGGGGAATAAAAATCCCACAGAGGTATTTCCTTCCTTTCTGTACAAGAAAGCCTCCCCCGCTCTCTGTAGAGACCATTTTTGTCTCTAACTTTTCACATCTCTCCCCTCACAGGCAGGTCAGCTGGGAACAGACGCCCGACCCCGCAGACAATGGGGTAACGGGAGCAGCCTGTGCTGGGCTGGGCTCGGGCTCCCTCCGAGAGCAGTTTGCAAGTCGCCCCTAACGTGGGAGACTGGGGGGCCCTGCCAAGCGGCCCCGCCGCCCCTCCTCGAGGCCCTGTGAAACCAAATGGAATCCTCCACAAAAGTGGCTCCCAGGGGACCTGAGAAAGGCTCAGCCCTGGGAGCTGCAAAGCCGGTACACTGAAGGACCCAGGCCCTGCTGGAACAAACAGCTGCTTGTCTGCAGAGCGAGGCTGCCTCAGCATCGGGCCACGCGGACTTCCAACGTGAACCATCGCTGCCGGAAAGCGCCAGCTGTGGCGCCGGAGGGAGGAACTGTTCTGAAATTTCCCAGTGAACTTGCAGAGAAAGAACGGTTGAGAAAATTCCAGCTCCTGTGCAGTCAGCCAAGCCCAGGGGCCTGACCCGATAAGAAGGCTGACCTTCTGATTCACAGTGAGGTGACCCCGTGGCACGGACGTCCCCATCTAGAGAGGAACACTTACTTCTTCACCTGCAGGCTCCCCCAGGTTGGTGTTGGAGGAGAGAATTTCGATGTGCTACCTACCTACAAACCTTCAGCCACACACTTCTTAAGTCTGCCCCTCTTTTTACCCCATAACTGTCGGAGCGGGGCACATGGATGCTGATTCTTCACTAAAGCACAGACGCTGTCTAAATAAGAAGGCCCCCCTGGGAGTCCTAAAACTATATCCGCAGACCCCACCTGGGGCAGGGTGGTGATAAACAGCCCTGCAAGCAGGCCGGGCTCTGCCCTTCCCAGCTCTCAGAGCTGGGGGAAGTAACCTGGGAGTCTTGCTTCCTCAGCTG